TTATACAAATTTTTAAAGGCCAATTTTCAATTGTGAATAGTGTTAAATCTTTCTTCTCGCTCTTATTACTACACCTAATATAATTTAACCATGTAAAAGTGTTTATTAAACTTATATCAAAACATTGCCATTAATTTAAAAAAGGCGCCATCCATTTCCAGAACGAGTTTTTATTTAATTTCAATAAGGTTTAAGTAGTATTTATTTAAATCAAACTTATCTATATTCAACAATAACACTACGAGCTTGTATATGTATGTAGAAAAGTACGAGTATACGAATATTATTATTTATTATTTAATTTAATTATTGATGAGTCTGCTGACTGTCCGCAGTGCGAAATTCGTACGTAATTTTTGGTACAAAGTCTAAAGAACCGCTTATGCATACATATATATGTATGTACATATATACACACATGAAGTACATACATCTATGCATTACATTATGTGTTGTTTTATCTTATCAGCAGCAGTACGCGGCATGAAACTTCTATTAAAATACTGTCTATGTATATGTAGGTAGCTAGAAAAGTGCGGAGTAAGTGACGTTATTGACACGAAGGATTAGTTGGGAAAGCGCAAATGCAGTTGATTGCTCGCAAGGTAAATACATTAGGCATCAACACACGCACACACACACCGGTATAAGCTAAAGAACTATATGTATATAGTATACACCCACATTCATCACATACAAGCACACACAATTAATCGTTGCGGTAATCACCTTTCAGGAAAACGCCTACACAATCTCCAAATAATGACGAATGAATTGAGTTCGCAGCTGTTTATATTGGGTATATATTTTTTTTTTTAACTTAATCTACTTATACTTTTGTTGTTGATAGTGAGCGCGTGTGCGGCTGATACTTAGCATATCCATCATTGCATTTTTTTTTTGCTTCTACCCAAATTGCAAAGTATTTTAATTGTAGTGAAAAAAAAAATATGAAGGCAGGCAGCCAACTTTCATAATGCAGCAAAATTAAATTGATTTCCAATTTGCTTTGCAATTCAAAAATCAATCAATTTATGTTGTTTGCCATTATGTGCGGGTCGGAAGGTTAACAAGACTTTTGGTTAGCATTTTTGTGAACTCGCAAAATAAGTATTAATTTCATTTGCTCGTGAGAGGCGAATACGTGATATGGCCAGTAGGAAAAATCGATTAAATCGACTTGCCTACCAGTAGAACTTGGGAGTATTGTTCGAATGGACGGTGAAAACTAAAGTATTGCAGTCTTAGTCTGGCCAATACCCGACCATCACACATCATGTGATCCGATTTAAGAAAATTGCAGGAGAACTGTCGCTGTGGATAGACTAATTCTGTGCATGTGAGAGCGCAGGTGATTATGACAGGTTAGATGATGAATAAACCCCTTGATGATGGCTCTATTCCAAAGATTAATATCTTTCCTAGAAAAAGCAGACCAATGAGCCTCGCCTGTCTAAGGCCCCATACCACTCCAAAGTACTTACTGCGTGCCGTGGTTGCCCGCGCTTCGATAAGAATCTCAAAAAGGACCAACCTTTCTTTACCTTTATAATGAATTGGCTGTGGAAAGGCCTAAAAACCGACGAAAAACAATTCGAAATTGTCCTATCGGGAAGGTATGCAACTACAATGCCTTCACATTATGTGCAATATTTACATCAAAATGAAATTTAATTAATCACCGAAAATGGAGAGTACAAATCAGCCATGTGCCTCATAGTTTTAATTTTTTCGAATAAGTGATGTTTTTATTTTGTTTTGTTGGCTATTTTCATGCTGAACTCATATGACTGACCTTTCATCAAAACATCAAATGGGCAACCCCTAATAGAAAGGTGAAATGAAATACGCTAGAGGGTGTGTGCATCAAAACAGGAGAGGTGTTTACTACACATGTACATATATGCATGTTCCCAAATGTTTTCAAGAAAAAATACAAAAAAAAAAGATGAGGTACCTTAGATACGAAAATTTGTACAAGCATGTGACGTACTTAGGAGCAACATGAACGTATGTATCTATGCATATTTACATACGCCTCAGCAGCACCGTTAGCATACATGCATGCAGCCATGTTGCTATCCATCAGAAAAAACTCGCCTACGTTGACGTCAGTTGTCGAGTCCACGCCTATGACGTAGCGGATATCAAAGCGCGATGACCAAATGTCAATCAAATATTTTCTAGGAATAGTATATGTAAGCACATACCCTGCAAAAAATGCGACTAATCCGGGATGACTCCGGGAGCGATCGCAAAGGAACATGCGACTAATACCACTTTTGATCTCTTATGTGTATGTGGAATGAACTGTTCGCTTTTGTTCATATAAAGAGACTAATTGTTCCCATTTATACCCTAACGGGTATAAAAAGCGACTAGTCAATTTTAAAAAATAAAAAAAAATAAAAATTTGCGCCAGCTGCGATTCGAACCGGGGTTCATAGTTTTGATAAGCGAATACTCTCTCTCTCTGTGCCAACGCCGCACATACAAGTTCATTGAGTAAGTGCGTACATATCATTAACTCGTTAGAGATGAGTCGGTGATGAGACTGAGTGATCTCCAATTATACCCGTAAGGGATGAGTCGAGACTAATTGATCTCGAAATAATACCCGTATGAGACTAGTTTCGACTAATTAACCTGCAGGAAATCTATCTAACTATAAGCTAACTTTAAGTTGATTACGAAAGAGCTAAAAGTCACTTACTATCTGTATATTTTCTTTGACGAAAGCTAACTATATGTCTATGGCGATGGCCGCGAAATAGTCAAGAGTGGTTTACCTCTGCATTTTATATAACTAAGTTGTAACTAACTAATTTTGGACATAAAATATCAAAAAGAAAAACGAAATTTTTGTTATTTTATTTTTATTTACTTTGTTTATCTTATTACATTTCATATTTGTTTCCATATTCTGCTGTAGGTGGTCCCATATTCGAACTCCGTCAGACATGACTTCAAAATGATAATATGAAAATTCGATCTTCCTTTTTAATTAAATAGAAACGCGTTTAAAGAAAACAATCTCCGTCATTACTCCCGCATTATTTGTCAACTAGTTTCAAGTTGGCTTTTTGTAACTAACTACAAGTTATATATTTTATAGAAATCCCGCAAAAAACTAACTACAAGTGGGTTATTTTTTTATTAATTGTTATTTTTTTTCAGCGGGGTAATTCCCAATTGTACCCGATTAAGAGTAATCTCGGAATACTCTCTTTAGAAATTAGTCTCACAATTTTTTGCAGGGTATGTATGTATATGTTACCGGCCAAACCACATCTAGGCTAAACTAGTTCTACATAGATCCAATATATCCGTCGAATGTGGAAATAAGTTGGACGCAACAATATTTTGGACTGCGTACTTGGAGTTGGACTGTGGATTATTTTTTTGAAGTGCGGCCGAAGGCCGTCTATGCGGAAAGATGTTCTGTGCAAAGATATTGTGGCCCCTTATCTGGTTTAGCCTAAGCAAAGCTAGTAGTCCTAAGATCGGGTTTGGCCGGTAACATATATACATACATACATAATTATATCTGCACATGTACATATGTATAAGGGTGCCTCAGGAGAAAACGTTGCTTCTTCCGTAAGCGAGTCGTAAAATTTAGTCACCTTTTTATGGCAAGCACCAAGCAATGTTCTCTTAAATTGGTGCTATTCGTGAGCTAGGCACCCATATTAAAATATTTCATTTAACTTGTCAAATAAATACCGAAACCTTTGCCTAGCTACTGTAAAAATGCCCACTTAAACCATTTTCGCTTGATACCCATATCAAAAAATGTTTCATTTAACTTATCAATTAAATTGAGATTGATTTTTATTTAGCAGGGGTCAACCCTGTGTGAAGTAAATTTGTCCTAAACCTCTCTCGTTTGATACCCATATCAAAATATTCCGTTTAACTTGTAATTCAAATTGATTTTGAATTTCTAAACGGGTGGCAAACCTTTTTGAAATAAGTATAAAATAAAGTTCTGCAAATCTCTCTCTGGCGTTTAGCGAAATATTTCATTCTGAGTATTGCTAGTTACATTGAGTTTTAATTTCTAAATAGGTAATGACTCTCGTCAACAATATTTTCGACATAAATATTTCTTAGACCTCACTCGTTTGATATCCATATAGAACTATTTAAATACTTACTTAAACCTCTCTAGTTTGATACCCATGCCATAAAATTTAATTTTACTTGTAAATTAAATTGATTTTAACTTTTAGAGCAGGCGGCAACTCTGCAAAAATATTTTCGAAATAAATTGGCCCGTAGTTATAGTCAAAGTTAAGTCGACTCTAAAGTTAAAAGGAGCTTTTTGACATAACTTTCGATGGGATATCGGCCAAAAAGGCTGCTTTTGACTTTATAGTCAACTTTATTTTAAGTATAACTATGGGCCATTGTTTTTGAGCCGCTTTCGTTTCACATCCACCCTCTTGTAATATTTTATTTAACGTAATAATTAATTATTTGTAGAATTTAAAAAGATGGCAACTCATTTCCAGAAATATCCTATATATTAATCCGGATGACAACCTATCTGTCATCACTCCCACTCACTACCTAAAACTACATTATGGTTTATTTTAAAGTTATTTCACTGTTAATGCGGTGCATGCGGCTAACATTAAAGGGCATACCGCAGGGAATTACAAGAAATGTTGCTTTACTTATCAACAAAAATATTTTAGAAATTTACATAAATGAGTTACAAAAAGTTGAGCTGTCGATCTCATCACGCCCTTTAAACAAAATAGAGTGCTCGCTCATAAGCTTACTCATAATGTCAACTGCGGGTGAACAAATAGTGCATATCTATAGGTGTTGTCTGCGTCTGTACAACTTAACAGATTGATAATATTTAGAATCATAAACATGTATACACGTAAGCAAATATTTATGTCTTCACACATTTGTAAGCCTACTGAGTTATGTAGCTATGAAAAAATAAAAATAAAAATAAATAAATAAATAACAGCAAAACTCACCTTGGCAGGTGCCATGACCGACACAAGTCAGCAGCAGCAGGAGCGGCAACAACAAGTCAACTATAACCGCAATTAGGCTGTCGGCATTTAATCTGCAACGGCAACAACGCCAACGCCAACTCACAGGAACCGGCATATTGGAGATATTGCCTCTGCTATTCAACGCCGCAGGGTAGCCCAAAGAATGTAAATATGTATGTACGCGTATGTGTGCGTTTCTCAGGCGTTAGTTTGCTTTCTCCGTTCTTTGCTTATCAAGTTGTTGTCACTGCTTTGTCAACTTTTCCGCACTATGCCCTAACACCACTTTGCTTTGCACTTCACTTCTGGACATAAACGCACACTTGCTGCGCGCTATTATTAAATGTTGTTTTTGTATTTGTTATTCTTAATAATGTTTGCTTGTTGATTGGTTTGTATGTTTTTATTTTTATTTTTTCAATTGTCTATTTGTTGTTTAACCACGAACATTATTATGTACTTTTATGTAGTTATTTTTTCTACATAATTCTTTTTACACATACACATGTGTATGTACATACATACATGTATGTATTATTCTTGTCGGTGTTGGTTGTTAATTTGTTTGCATACCAATTACAAATATTTATGTATGTACATATGCACGCTGCGGGAACAAAGTATTGGCACAGCAAATTTTTTCCGCCAATTTTGTCTAAAAATATGGTTCATTCAACAACAAAAAAAAAAACATAAAAATAAAATTCCGAAACTTTGTATAAAATTTGCGAAAATTTAGCAAATCTTCATAAAAATTTTTAACTTTTTAATCAGATTTTTTAGATTTTTTTTTTGAGTATGCAGTTTTGCAGCCCATTAATTTCTAGTAAAAAAATCAGGCTCAGAGTTAGTCAAAAATCGCGTTGATTTTTGAGAATTTGGTTTGTTGAAGGCGTTTTGCATTTTTTCCATATATATAAAAAAAATTTTGTATGGAAGAGACTGCGTGAAAAAATTGCCAAAAAACGGTAATGCCTAGCTACTTAAAACTTGCACTTTATTGTAATAAAATTGATTGGGCTACAAATCTGCATACTCAAAAAAATTCTAGAAAATCTGATTAAAAAGTTGAAAATTTTCATGAAAATTTGCTGAATTTTCGCGAGTTTTGCACAAAGTTTAGGAATTATATTTTTATACGAAATTAGCGGAAAAATATTAGTATGAAAATTGTTGCATATATTGTAAAAAATTTGCTGTGCCAATACTTTGTTGCAGCAGTGTATGTTTTTATTGCTTTTCAATTTGTTCATGGAGCATTGACTTTTAATTTGAAAATTTCATTCACAGCATTGTTAAGATTTCAGAAGGTCATGTACCTTCCCATGCAGAATTGTAAAAATATTTACATAGCGGACATTGTTTGCTGATAAGTATTTAGTAGATAAGACATTTTTTGTTAATAGTTTCAACAATGAAAGTGCATTTCGTCTGGCAGCAGAAATGGCAAAAACAAGAAAAAGAAGTCCAGAAATAAAACAATCGCTAAAAAGATCGCAAACATCCAAAGAAAAATTCAACAATAGTTTTTATAATTGACTTTGCATTTTAATCTGAAGATTTTTATATCGGCTAATTTTGGGTCGTTGGTTTCGAAAATAAAAATTTTATAAAACTGTCAGTTTCAGCGTTATTCAGCATTCATTATATTGCACAGTGGGATCCTAGGTTTGTAAACTGAAAAGTGATCTCAAATATTTTTAATTTTTCTTTCGTGAATCGTATTTCAAATTCCCGAGTAATACTTTCAAATTTTTTCGAACCTCAATTCCCTGGAAAATAGTCAATTTTTTCCAAAACATTACACTGTTCACTATCGACTTTTGTGCTACTTTTCATTTTTTGAAAAAAAAATACGTTCAACAGCATTCAGATAATATAATTAAAGAAACGCGATGAGGAAGAATGATATTATTTTCTCAAAACAACTGTTTTTTTTTTTTTAAACAAAAGCTCTTATTTACGAAAAAATTAATTTGCCCAATGTATTAGACGTTTGTACTGAAAGGGTTAAAATGTTGTTTTAATTTAATGGTGTTTAAGATCGAAAAATATTTTAAATAGGATAGTCTCATAAATTTCGTTGAGCAAGGCTTGTATGTTCACTAGGGTAGTCCAAAATTGCATGTGGAAAAAGTAAAGTCGGAATTTTATTGCTTTCACCCCCTAGAACTATTCTAGATCGAAAAATACATACCCTTGCTTTTTTGCGACATCAAAAAATATTTAGAGGTCGCTCAAACGCTGTATTTTATGTGGGAATTTTTCGTGGAAATGGCATAGAATTCTTGAAAATGAATATTTTTTCGATCGAAGAACCCTATTTTTCTTCAAGAGATTTCCAGTAATTAATCCCAATTATTTATTTAGCCATTTTTTCATAGTAACCATGTTTTATAGGTCCCCCAACATCCCCAGAAAATGCTAGAAAATGCAATGGGGGAATAGATAAAAAATATTTGGTGTAAAAAAATTGTTAAATAAACAATGAAGAGAACCATAGTTTTCCGATCGAAAAATATTGTTTTACAAGAATTCCATACCATTCTACGAAAAGTGGTATTTTCCCATATAATATACATGGACAACTTTGAGCGCTATAAGGGACCTCTAAATATTTTTTGATTTCAAAATAAAATATATTTTTTCGATATAGAACAATCCTTCGGACTACCCTAATGTACATACATATACACTTAGGTTTTTTTTTTGTGCGGATTTAAATTTATGCGGTTTTTCAATTCATTTTTTCTCTGTGGCGATTTTGCCTTTTTGAGACTTGTTGTTACTTTTTTTCAGTGTATAAGGGGCAATGCTTCTGATAATTACTTTCTCTTTGTATTCTTACATAATTCATATATTTATTGAGGTATTTTTCGTTTGTTTTTGGTTTAAATACAGATAAATTTTATTTATTTAATTAATGTTCAGTTTAACATGGAATAATAAGTGTTGATGTGAAGAAATAAATTGCTTTGTTTTGCTTAGTATTGCCTCACTGGATTTTTTATGCGGTTTTTGAAAATGCTGGAATGCATCCCCTGTTTTTCTATGAAGGGATATAACTTTTTATGCGGATTTTTTTCGAGGGGGGGGCGGGGGGGGGCTTTCTGAGGAACGCAAATACCGCATAAAAAAAGACTTAAGTGTATTCTACATCTGTTGCTCTTCATCAGCAAATTTTAAGTACTGCATACACTGTAAATATGCATTTCGCTACAAATCAAATAGAGCTATAAATCATTTCAATTCTAAAATGAAAAGCGACTATCTTTCAAACAACATAATAAAGGAGCTGCTCAATTAAAATTGCATTAGCACTTAAGACTTTGATGCAATTATTCATGAAGAACAATTGAATTGCATGAAAGAGATTACAAAATATTGTCCATGCACAAACATATTAATTAATGCTAGCCCAGCGTAAATTATGTTCGGACAAAGTAAAAAAAGTTCAAAACCAATAAATAAAAACGCAAAACGATGGCGCTTTGTTGACTGACTTTCGCCGACTTTGAGATGATTTTTTCTTACTTATGTACAAGTAGTGTTCAATTAAATTGGAAGGCAGAAGTTGGATTCAATAAAAAGTTTACGCATACATGCATAGACATGTATGTACATATCGACCGCTTTGCGCGAAATAATTGTTTGTGCCGATAGTCATATTTTATCAAAGAGCGTTTTTTCCAATATCAAAAACAACAATTACATAATTATCTGAAATAAGTAACCTCAACATTTTTCGTTTGGAAACGTTTACATTTTCCGAAAAAAAAACATATTTTTGGCACATATGTGCGTAAATTTTGCTCCAACGTTTTATAAATGCGCTTGTAAAAATGCTGCATATTATAAACATTTTAATTTGCAAATTAATTCACAAACATTTTTATTTGGTATCTTAAACCTTTCTAAACTTATGCCGAATTTCCACTAGGCATTGAAATGACAAAAAATTTATATCATTTAAAAAAATGCCATGTGGAAATGAACTTAATGATTATTTTTTAATGTAATGACACGATTATTTTTTAATGCCCGACTTTGTCATTCGTCATTTTTGCCATTTAATGCCTAGTGGAAATCCAGCATTATATGGAAAAATTTAACCTTCATTATAATTTTGTTTTTGATTGTTTTCAATTTCGAAAATAAGTACATAATTTAATGTTTTTGTTGTTGTAACAGTATACAAATTCCCCAAAGAGTTTTTGGGTGCTGAAGTGACAGTCCTTGACCATATATGAGTTTGCGTCTTTCCGGCTATGGGAACGAAAGTAATTTAATCTTCGACGGTGCTTTCATTTAACGAGTGTGTTATTATTAAGCAAGGGTTTAAATTTTAGTATTCAGTTATATTTTGATGGAATACTATTTTTTCCAAAAATATTATATTGTGCTAAGTATAGAATCAACTGGCATAATTGTATCACCGCGAGGTAAATATGTATGTAACTTATTTTTTATGAAGTTTGAAAATTGAAAAAAAAAACATGCAGCATAGTGGCTTTAACCAGTGCTTAACTGCATAAACTGCCTATCTCACAAATATGAATAAAAAAGGATGCAAAATGTTTCTCTTCATCTTTAAAGCTTAGTATTCAAAACTTCATATGAAAAAACGCAGAAGAAATGGCGAAGAAATTTTCTGGTGTCAAATATCCTTAAGACAGTACGAAGTTCGTAAGTAATTTTGCTGAACAAAGGCAACATATATTTGCAACATAAATATATACCCCTTCCATTATCTTTCGTGGTGGAATTTATTTTTAAATATTCACAATGCTTTGCAAGATAAACTTTTTTTTGTTATTTTTTTACAAATGTATGGTTCATGCTATGAAAGAAACCATATCAATCAAAGTTTCAAACTGTTTTCATTAAAATTTTTAACTTTCAAATCAGATTTTATAAAATTCGATTTTAGTGTAACACCTGTATTTGTATCATTTTGCTCGTATCGTTACAACAGTCGCAGCGGTCGACAGATCAGAGAACTAGCGTGCTATTCGAGAGATCCGAAGTTCACCTCGGCTAGGTGAAAATTGTTTTTTTTTTATGTTAGTTTCAGCCTTAAAGAAAAATCACAGGAAATAGTTTTCTTTATCTCTGTTGCCGCTCTAGCTCATACCAGTTAATGTACTGGTATTTTTGCCGGCTGGGTTAGCATTTCTCAGCAGGGTAGTTAAGTGAGTAAAGTAGGCTTTGTCCAATTTAGTTGCTACATAAGCGGTACTTGCCCGACTATTATGAAAAGTCAATAAAAGAAACATTTGTGTGTATGAGTGAAGCTACATATGTATGTATGTTTGTAGGTATGCCTGTTAATGTTTTAAGCAT